CGTTTCAAAATAATAAGATCTCTTTAAATCCTAATAATTTGATTGATCATTATAATCTTATATACACGAGGAGTCCTAAGTTGGCGGTCTAGGGGATTAACTAAATATCAATGAAAACCCAACACTGCAGAGAAAACCCCTAACTAAAGTCAAGTCATCTGCTCCCAGGTGTAACATGTCAGCTTTACGCTTTGGAGTGAGCTGATGTCAGTCAGGGCTTGGTTGTGTGTACTATGGTTTTGGGGTATGCATGGAATTGAGATTGGGATAGGATGATGGGGTGAGATGGGGAGATGGGGTTCTTTTCTGATGTGTGTGTGTATGGGGTGGGGGGTTGTAGATGTAGATCTGGGTGTGTATCTGTCTATAGCTAGGTAACTAGCTCTAGATATAAATGGATATGAATAAAATAATCCTCACCACTACAATTACAATAATTACAAGACGCACACACACACACACACATCAGAATCCACAAGGAAACCCAACAGGGCTGAGAATCAGATCCCCCCGTCTTGATAAGAGCTGGAAAGGTCGCATGATGAATAAATATCTGAGTAGATCAATGAATAAATGAATGAATGAATGATAGATATCTTATGCGTTGTACAATAATTACTCGTAGATATGTTTTATGTGTTATGTATGATATGTATATCGTGATCACTTTTCGGGATTGATTATTTATTGATTCATTGATTTATTGATTTATTGATTCATTGATTTACAAATACAAATACAATTTACTATTTATTACTCACTCTCACTTATTATTACTTACTCACCTGTTAAACCTATCGATCCTATCCTATCCTGAAATTTTATATATTTATATCTATATTCATTCCTATCGTACATCAAGTATATAAAGTACGAAATAAAGATTACTCATCTACAAATCATAAATAAATAAATAAATAATCGATTATCTATAAGCGAAATACAGATGAACCTAGCTCTATATAAGCGAAAAAACAGGCGGAAATTGAGTATTCTTTTAAAAATCTTTTTTAATAGATTATAAATTCATTTCAAATCAAATATTGAAATTTAAAAAAATTACATGAAAATTTGAGTCTTCTTTATATCAATATAAAATATTTTTATTATCTAATATTATATCGAAAAGAGATCTCAATTATTAAAGTTTTTTTGAATAATAATTAATTCCCGCCTGTTTTTTTACTTATATAGAGCCTGAATATACGAATACGTAATATACGGGAATCCCCTTTATACGAGTATATCTTTTAGATTTCTCAAAAATTTATATAATAAAATTAATTTAAATAAGCATTTCTTTATATAAAAGTATATAATCTTAATTTTTCTAACATTCTTATAAAAATTAATAGAAATAGCTTAAAGCTTCAGTCTATTATATAATAAATTTATAAATCTATATAACAAATTTAATAAAAATGGGGAGGCTGAAGATATAAAATGAAATTAAATACTAAGACTGAAATTGTATATATGGGAAACCTTTATATATAGGCATTTAGACCTTGAAATTTTTAGGCCCTTATATTTAGATTTATCTGTACAGAGTAAACTAATCTCATGTATATCCATCTCATCCCATCCAACCGGTTCAATTCGGTTCGCGATCCCCGGGTTTTATGTTTCATGTTTTATGTTTGTAGTTGGGTTTGGAGGTAGCTGGTGTGTGTATGTATTGTGTATTGTGTATTGTGTATTACATATGTATATTGGGTATTGTATATGTATATATCAGCTGATACGATGCGATGCGATTTGACGCGATTTGAATCCAATGCACTGAGGGAAGTCCCTGCAGGAAGATCGTCGGGTTTTAGTTTATTTTATTTTATTTTATTTTATTTTGGTGCGGGTTGTGGGTTGGGGAGAGGAGGAGAGGATTGGGGAGAGGAGGATTGGGGAGATTTGGATTGGAGAGAGGAGGATTGGGGAGAGGTGAGATGAGGCGAGGTGAAGATGAATTGGGATGAGAGAGGTCATTTAAAGGAGGGGGATTATAGGTGATATATATGATGAATTGGATGATTGAGAGTTGATGAGGTGGATGAATGGGATTAGGATTGTGAGGTGATAGATGGGAGGTGATAGATGGGAGGTGATAGATGGGAGGTGATAGATAGGAGGTGATAGATAGGATGGGATGAGATAAAATGATGATGGGATAGGATGATAGTATAAGGGTTATTGAATTAGGATGTTATAGAGGTGGAGGAAGATTACTGGGTAGGTAGTTAATAGTTGGTAGTTGGTAGTTGATAGTTGATAGTTATTCTTTGTAGATATATGATATTTTATTTGAGGATGTTTATTTGAGGATATATGAGGATACTTGAGAATACTTGAGAATACTCATTTTTTGAATGAATGATTGAATGAATGAATGACTGAATGACTAGATGAATGAATGCAATTGAAAAATGGAAATATGGACTGTGGCAAGGAGATAGGATAGGATGTGAATCAATGAATGATTGAAAATCCATCTAATCTGAACAATTGGGGTATCCCGAATTCCATCTCAATTCAATCCTCATCAAATCCCATTTCAATCCCCATTAAAAAAAATCCCATGTCAGTAGACAAGTAAAGCAAGACACGTTGAACGAATATCAAACTCTCACTAGATACTCTCACTAGATACTCTCACTAGATACTCTCACTCCTCTCACTCCTCTCACCAGTGTCACATCTCAATACCAGAGGCTGGGAAAAGGGTACCGTGTTCCAATGAATCATATCATGTGCTTGATGGATGCGGGTTAACTTTTCTTCTGGTTCTCCCATCGGTACGTACTCAGTCAGCGTGCGTCTGTCCATCAGTCAGTCCTTAGTAGTAGATTTACTATTTACTACATTTACTACATTTACTACATTTACTACATTTACTATATTTACTATATCTACCATCGTAGATTGATGTTATGAAATCGAACCGTGAAAACCGTGAAACCCATGCAAACCATGCAAACCCAAAAGATAATCCTCGGATCTCGGTGATGTGATTCATCGTCGGTAGAAGAGTGATACTTACTTACCTAGTACTTAATGGATTTATTTCAGAAGAGTTCTCACGAATGGAATGGGGGATCCTGGATAAGAGGTTCATCGCCACAGAATGGGTAGAGGGTGGGAGAGGATAGGGTTGATAGGATAGGGTTTATACTTGTACACTTCGGTCTCTGGATAATGAATGGATGAATAGATAGCCGGGAGGGAGGACTTTCATATACATACAATGGACATGTGATGTGTTTTGGGGATAAGGCGGTTATGCTGAGGCAGGGGAGGAGATACATAACCAGTTGTCAATAATGCATTGATGGTTGTGCTTATGAATTGAATTGAGTTGAGGTGAGTTGAAGTGAGGCGAGTTGAGGCGAAGTTAAAAAGGACTTGATACTTTATCGTCCTCATGATATGGATGTTGGTCGGGGTGATGATTGTGTGGAGTAAGATGAAGGGGGAGGAGGGCAGTGAAGGGAAAGCCTCGGCGTGTATATTTGAGTTGATTGATTGAACGGGACTCAATTATAGTTATATCATCCATACCATCCATACTCATTCATACTCATATCATCCATACCCATACTCATACTCATATTCATTCAAACTTACGTACTCATCATCTACCGATTGATTTGCCCAATTGATCTCGAGAGATTTGATATGAACGAGTAAGGTACAAAGAGGAACCTTTTCACTCCAAACAACTATAGTCATAGCTCACAGCCATAGCCATCGCCATAATTATAGCCATAACCATATCATAGCCATAACCATACCATAGCCATATCAATACCATCCATAGTCACAGTCAGAACCATCGCCATTGCCAGAAATATGAAAGCAATGACCTTTCATCGGCTTTCCATCAAAAGATACTCGAAAGGGAAAGGAGTCCTTGGGATCAATCTTCACATTATATCCTCATTGTGCTTAGTCTCCATCACTTATTACTCCTTTTCCTCTAGCATCAATTTCCCCATCACGATTCAACTCCCATCCACTATCTTGTCTGGACCGCATGGCTTCTTTCAATCCGAACCAGGGGTAAAAGAGATGGAGACAAGGATGGCGAAAGTTTGGAACCGATCTTCAGGTTCTTGAGCACATGATTGAACTCCTTGACAATTTCCCCATTGCACTTAAACTCACGTAAAGCAGCTCGAATAGGATTAGGGCCATGGGATTCCCATACGAAAAAGGGCCGTTTACTTAACCCAATGAAGGAATAAACTAAAATGACTGAATGATCAAGAATCGACCGATCGGTCATAGATCGTGGCATGAATTGGGAATGGATCTAAGACTAAATGGGACATGACTCCTTTCAAAGGGGTAATTACCAGATGACGCTAAGGAATTAATTACTCTCTCCAAGACCGAGAACCCTCACCCACTCACTCACTCACCCATTCTCATTGAGATCCACTCCCACCGGGGAAGAGAAGAGAAGGGAAAAATTGTGAGCAGAGGAGAGATCTAGCCTTTTTCTCACTTACTCATAACCTCATCACCCTAGTTAGACCGATCATTAACCCCCTCCTCCACCACTTGAACTTGACTGGATTTTAATTCACCGACCATAAGAAGAAAAGAGGAAAAGCAGGAAAGCAGGAAAGTAGGGCAAATCGTGTGCGAAAAGAAAAGAATATTACTCAAAGCGGATCCACGCTACTGGATTATTATTTTTTCAATCTTTTTTTTTTCTTTCTCTCTTCCCATTCTTTCCTTTTCCGCCTTTCTGCTGGTAAACCTAAAAAGGTTCAAGGTAGTTCAAGTTCAGTCAAAGTCAGGCAGTCTAAAAAAGAAAGGCGACCAGCACATTACATTACATGACATTACTTGGATATAATATCTATCAAATATCACCACCACCACCACCACCACTACCACCACCTCCACCTCCACTTCCACCTCCACCATCACCATCACTTTACCTACCAACAACATAATCAATCCTCTTCCTATTCAACATCAATCAACTCATTCAACATTCACACTCACACTCACACTCACACTCACACTCACACTCACACTCACATTCACATTCACATCTAACAAAAAGAAGAATATCTTCAAGAACATTCTCCTCTCCTCTCCCTCTTCCTGCACCTCGCCAGAAATTCCCATCTCGATTAAAACGGACCCAAAAGGGAAAAAAGGCGATTGATTCCGAAAACGCTTATTTCACACTATACCTACTTATACTTTACTTCACCCACATCCGGTCCATCAACCTCTTTTCCTCCCCACGTCTTCAACCCCAACTTAAACCTACAAGTACAACTCTCTCCTCCTTCTCCACCAATCCCTCGAATACTTTTCTCTCTCGACCGACCGTTTATTCAACCTTGCACTCTTCGATATTGCCTCCACCAAATTGAATCATTGTCAAGAGATTCTACACGATTACACAAATTCAATCATCAACATAACAAACCAACATTCCTCCACCATTTCGCGATCACATCGCGACTTCGTGCCGCAGTCGTGCCTTCACTTTCACAACAGCTCGTGCGTTCGAGCAAATTTTCGATTCCACAATACAATCATTATGCCTTCCAGATTAAATGCGCCGGTCTTGACCGTTGACGCCGGACTTATCCATAAAGTCGACACCAGAAACGTCGAGAACCTCTACAGCATGTGGACGGGTAAGTTGACTTCTTTCTGCCAACATTCACTCGTGAAATCATTCGCGTCATGACATTCCCATCATTCACTGTACTGACGAACATCCCTTGCCACAGTTTTCTCCAGATGTGCTGGATCCTTAGAAGAAGGTCAAAGATTAGAAAACTTAAGTTGGAGATTATGGAACAGAGAAACCTTTTGCTGTGAACCAACTTCAGAAGCAAACACCACCACACCCATCATTTCACGATCCTCAAGAAGCTCCGCAGGTCTCGATTCGAATAACGTTCCGGAATTAAGTGGAAGTTTGGATTCGCTCGTTGACGAAGAGGCCATCGAATTCGAAGAAGGTTCCGATTCTTCTCCTCTCGACATCTCACACCGACAAATTCACAGACAAGATTCTTGCAATAGCAGAAGTCGAGGAAAGGAACGTCACATTACACCGGATGATCTTGAGAAGATGGTTATCACCATCAAGGAAAAGAAAGATTTGGCTCCTCTTACAATCTCTACACCTTACCTTGCGCCACTCGCCGAGAGAATCCCAGAATTCATTCAACCCAAGTATGAATCACCCGCCATGCCCTCAGATGAGTCTTTCTCAATCAACTCACCACATCAATCTGCCACCATGGAATCATCAAGCAGTAACTCTGAAAAGAGTGCCACTTCAGTTGTCAAGGGTTTCTCTCTCTCCCCCGCACACGTCAGCAGTTCCATGCGTTCCATCCCACTCAACACCGTACCATCCTCAATACCAACTGCCGATATTCTCGCCACGGATTCAAAAGCACTTGCACCCAAGAAGAAGCAAATGTTCGCTCTTGGTGGATCTTCCGGTGAAGACTCACTCAGTGAACAAGCCGCTTCCATGGATGACAAACCATTAACCCTCCAACAAAAGAAGAAGCCAGCCAAATTCAGCTTTGGTGGATCATCAAACGAAGACGAGAGCTCGCTCCCAAACAGAATGCAACCACGTAGTGCATTAACGGACAAACTTCAAAAGCCTTTGGCCAAGAAGCAAACCTCTTTCCAAGAAGAGGTTGCCACTAGAACCATTCAAGAAGAAGCATTCGATGACGATGTCTTTGAGACAGATGATGAGGATGATGTCGACGAATCTGCCATTGACGATGACGATGATTCTTCTGATTGGGAAGATTCAGTTGAGGATTCTGGAAACGCAAGTATCGATGACAAGACCTTCTTTCAACGCGTTGATTCAAGACCTCAACTCACCTCCAGACGATCATTGATCACTACCATGCTTCACCAAAACGATCGTGCTCAAGCACTTGCCACCGAAGCTTCTCGATCGACTCCAGCTCTTCGAAGATCCCGCAACTCTTCACCAAATGGTCCTTCCCTCGCAGCATCACCGGAATCCGATGAAACCCCTCTGATGATGAGAGGACTCAGACCAATTGCTGAAGTTCCTCGTGGAGCTCAACCTATTATCAAGACAACCACCAACACTACCGCACATCAACAAGCACTTTCACCAAGAACTACCAGAAGAAACATGCTTGCAACTGAATTGACTGTCAGTCTTCGACAAAACCTCCTTTGGGAAAGAAGACAAAAGTCATCAGTCAATGAAGCTGCTGCAGCTCTCAAACGAAGACACACTGCACATGATGTTGCAAACCTTAAACAATACCCAGAGAATGTTTATATGGACAAGGATGATCAAGCTCTCAACTCAAGCTGGAATCAATATTTCAGTCAAGGGTTGGGAGAATATCATTCCAAGGGATGGTAAATTTCTGAACAATACTACGTGTTAGTCGCATAATGTAATGGGTTATCTGCGCATCGAGTAAACAACATCAGTATACAACAATTTATACGTTTGACTTGTATTACCTTTTGGTAATTATAAAGTCTTACATCGACTTCACAGTCAAAACTGCATTCATCGTCATGGAGTTTCTTGGCATAGAAACAAGACGTGTGGAATTTTTACATGGTCATAGCATTGGGCACGAATTAATGTCTTTTTGCTTTTTTACTTTGCATTATAGCGAATGTTTTTACAATCACAGGATCAAGGAGGGGTGGGATATTTGTCTGTTTTTTTTTTTTTTCCCTTTCTTTTTTTACTTTTCTTCTTTTACATATTCACATAGCGACTTGGAAGAAAAAGGTCAACAACTTCCACACATATTTGGGGGGATGGAAAGAACACTGGTATGGGAATAAACTGGTATGGAATGGGAAATTATGGATCGGTGTTCTTTTGCGTCTTTTGCGTCTTTCTTCATTTTACACAAAAGCTTTTTTCGAGGAAAAGTGTTATGAAGAAAACTGAATGGTTTCTTTTTCAAAGAATGTTTTGATACCAGCGGATTTTATTTCAACTGGCGTTGGGATGATACCACATAATGGATTTTTGAGAAAGTCCATGGGATTTTTTTTATTTTTCAGTTCAAGCTTTTCCTCTTTTTGAGAGAATAAGATCATGAACTTTCGAGAGGAAGCATGAATCTTTGTATATGATCTGAATGGATGGGAACTGGAATGGAAGGATAGGCAGTGGATGATATAAAAGTTTAGGGGGAATGGGAATACGGGAACAATTGTATTATGACTTGCAAAATGAAAGCAAGCAGATTAGATAGTTTTTAGTGAGAGGATAGGGGGGGAGGGGGGAAGAAGAGAATAAAAAAATAAAATATTGATACAAAACTTATTGATTCTCTTTTGATTGATTGTGGTGATTGTGGTGATGTGAATGAGTTGATGTATTGTTGATAGTTTGATTGACTGGGGAGGATATAAGGATGAAGATGAGATATTTGGGAAATAAGGTGATAAGGATATTGGATGTTGAATATTGAATATTGGATTGTAGGGATTAAGGAAGGATGATGATGATGATATAAGGAGAGGTGTTTGAAGGGGGGAAGCAAATAGGAAGGCTTGTTTGTTATTGTGTTAGGTGATAGGGGGGGAGAGGAAGGGTATGGGATAGAGGAGAAGGTGAGAGAAGGTGAGAGGAGGGGAGAGGAGAGGAAGGGAGAAGAGAGGAGGGGATGAAGAGAAGGAGGTGAGAAGGGGGAGGGATTATATAAGGGGGGAATGGGGAGGGGGGAATGAGGAGGGGGGAGGGGAAGGGAGTGAGAAGGTATATAGGATAAAAAGAAAGGAAGGGAGAGATGAGAGAAGAGAAGATAAGAAAAGGGGAAGGAATGATGAGAAGAGATGAGAAGAGAGGAAAGAGGAAGGGAAAGAGGAGAGAAAAGAAGAGGGGAGAGAGAAAGAAGATGAGAGGAGGGGAGGTGAGAGGAGGGGAAGTGAGAGGAAGTGAAAGGAGAGAAGATGAGAAGAGAGAAAGAAGATGAGAAGCGGGGAAGTAAAGGGAAGAGGAGGAAAAAAGAGGAAAAAAGAGGGAAGAGGAGGAAAAAGAGGAAAAA